CATCACAGCTCACAGCAACCTCAAAAAAAAAAAAAAAAGTGTTAATGTACATGTAATCATTGCCGTCAACTGGGGCTTAGTTCTATTGGGAACCCTCTGTGAGACAGAGAATCTGACTTCCATCTGTCCTGGGTTGAGGGTTGTCCTTGGGAACATGAAATACCCTGCACTTTTGGGCTGCCCTCTGTAATGAAGAAAGCCTCAGATGTGTGAAGCAGTAGAAGCCGTCAGCCTGCATGAGAACCATCCACAGCATGTGGACTCAGGTGGGCTCAGGGGATATGGAATGAGGAGTCAATGGTGTCAGGCTTTTATCTACATCCATATACCCAATATCAGGGAAGACTCTGATTGCCCTTGCTTGGGTCATGTGCTTACCCCCGGCAGGCAGAGAATGGAGAATGCTCCACCTAAACCCATGACAGAATTCTCCACGAGAAAGCAAGGATCTTATTATAGCATGTCAGGCTTCTTTGGTAGATTTCAAGAGATTATAGAGAAAAATCCAAGTCATGTTTTGCTGCTATAGGGCGTTCTGTCCTGGAAGGGGTAAGAGTGTCTCCTGCTTTACATTCCATTGCAGTGTCGTTTTCATTTCTACATACCATGTGCTTCATCGGGTTAGCTCTTCTCCTTTTTTTTTCTTTTTTTCATTTTTCTCAATATTTTATTTTATTTTTTTTTGCAGTTTTTGGCCGGGGCTGGGTTTGAACCTCTGGCATATGGGGCCGGCATCCTACTCCCTTGAGCCACAGGTGCCGCTCCAAGGGTTAGCTCTTCTCTTAAACACCACTCCTGCTACAAATCTGCTTGAGTTAGGCTCTTTTGGTTCCTTTTGTAACATGCATCACATACGACTTGAAATTACACACTCCAAGTCCACCTCCACTTCAAAAGATTGTGCTTGAGCTTAGGAGTTCAAGACCAGCCTGAGCAAGAGTGAGACCCTGTCTCTAGTAAAAATAGAAAAACTAGCTGGGCTTTTATTTTTTGAGACAGAGCCTCAAGCTGTCACCCTGGCTAGAGTGCTGTGGCATCACAGCTCACAGCAACCTCCAGCTCCTGGGCTTAAGCGATTCTCTTGCCTCAGCCTCCCAAGTAGCTGGGACTACAGGTGCCTGCCACAATGCCTGGCTATTTTTTGGTTGTAGT